TCAATATACACATTAACATATTTCATTTTGCTTTTGATTTGGAAGGAATGTTTCTGTTTTTTATTCTGATTTGATTTTGTTTTATTGTTACACAAAGCATTTACCTGGCTCTAAATTGTTCTACAAAATAAGGTATTTTCAGAGAAGTCTAACTTCAATCTCCATTCTCTTGACCCCATTTCTTCCCTCTTCTCATGGACAGTAATTTTAAAATTTTATTTATTTTATCTTATTGGATTTTTAATTAAAGAAAATATGCCTTTATGTATCCCTTCCATTTCTTTGATAAGTAATAATGCACTGTATACATTTTATTACACTTTCCTTTTTCACTTAACATTGAACTCTAGAGACGATGCTATTGTAACCCACAGAGATCTGCCACCTTCCCTTGGCTAGCCACAGAGTGCCATTGTGTGGTCAACAATTCCCTACTAGTGGACACTTGAGGGGTTTCTAGATTTTTATTCACAAATGGTGCTGCCACGAATAGCTTTGTGAATGTCTTCTTTTTGCCAGTAAGTCTTTGGAATAGATTTCTAGAGACAAGATTATCAGGTCCAAGGGTACATATGTAAATTTGCTAGAACTCATCAAATTCCTCTCCATGTAGGGCTTGCGCCATTTCACATTCCCACCAGACAATATACAACAGGGCCTATTTTCCCACAGTTTTTCCAATGGGGTACATTCTTAAACTTCTGGATTTTTGTAAGATGAAAAATAAGAATCTTGGCTTAGTTTTAATCAGCATTTCTCTGATTAGGAACAAGGTTAAACAACTTTTCATATGTTTAGATTTTGATTCACTTTTGGGTCCCCAGTGCCCAGCACAGGGCCTGACACAGAAGAAACTCTCAGGAGAGATTTCTGGAATGAAGGCATGGAAGAACAGACAAACAAATGAGGAAATGAAGTCTTAAAGGCGATGGCTGACTTGCTCAAGGTCATGTTCCAGTTATCATCAGAGTTGGGACTAAAATTGATCTGGCTTTTTCTCCTTGTCTAATTTTTCTGACTGTAAAATGAATAGTTGTTTTATAGCAGAAAGTTCAGAAAGCACAAAAAAGTATAAACATAAGGAAATTTTTAATCTTTCTACCAAATATCAACCATTTTTAGCATCTTTGTATTTCCTGCTAGTCTTCATGCACTTCTTTCCGTTTTGATCACACCACACATATGGTTTTTGATTGGTGTTCTTTCTTACACTCTTCCACTTGTATTAGCTCTTTGTTGCTATAATGAAATATCTTAGATATGCTACTTATGAAGAAGAAAAGGTTACTAGCTCACAGCTTTGAAGGCTGAAAGTCTACACAGCGTGGGTCTACATGCTGAAAGTCTACACAGCAGTGGCTGGCGGAGGAGGGATGGGGAAGCACATGTAGGAGGAAGGACCACACCTCAAAAGGAAGCCAGCGAGCTGGGTGGGACCAGGATCTGGCTTTCATCACAAACCTGTCATGAGACTACCAAGGGGTCCCAGGACAGCTATCTTCACCCCTTTTGAAGACATACCCCCAACTGACCTAAGGACCTCGCACTAGGCCCCATCTCTAAAAGGTTCCACATCACCACCCCAGGAAATAAACTCCAACACGTGAACCTTTCAGGGGACAAGCGGCATCTATACCATAGCGCCACACTCATGACCACTCTTTGCAAACATAACTTTAGTGGCTAGACACCACTTCACTGTTCTAATATATACTAGTGTGTTTTACTTCTGAGTTACTGCTAGACTTCTAGATTGTTTCCAGATTTGCTATTATAAATTAGTTCTACCATGTTCATTTTTGTTCCCATTCAGGATTTCCCCCCCTTAGGATTGATTCCTGGAAATGGAGCTCCTGGAATCCCAGCACTGCACTCCAAGTTCAGGGTTTTTCTTGGCCACACTCGGAGGGGAGTGTTCGTTAAGCTTTGCCCCCAGGACTGCGCAGAGCCCCTGCCCTAGCCTGGTTCTCAGCGTCTGTGATCTTCAGAGGAGACAGGCTCACACCCGAGTGAGATCAGAGGGCGGGCTGAGCTGGGTGGGCCAGAGCCCGCTCAGGATGCGGCATCCGAACCCCCTCTCATTCTCCCTCAGTTTGTTACTGCCCAGGCTGTGGACAGATCACCTGTAGCCAACAAGAGGAAACTGCACAACGGGCAGGGGGAAACCTGGGGGAGGTAGGGCAGGCGGGGATGCTGAGGGATGTGATCTGGCTTTGGAAGCCCTTGTGGGGCAATGCGGGGCCAGACCCCCTCACCTTGTGAAGGTCCATGATAGACTCACAGTGCCCATAGTAGACGGTGAGACCTGGGAAGGCTTCCTGGAGGGGTCAACAGTTGAGTGCAGTGGTGGGAACACAGGTTTCACTTCATAGATGAGGCCCTCTAAGCTGGGTTAGGGATCCTAGATCTTGTCCTTAGACTGCTAAGTAGGGGAATGACAGGTCCACATTAAGGACAATCCCTCTGGCTGCTGGGTGGGAGGCAGGGCTGCAGATGAGAACTGGGCAAATTTAGAAAGGCCACCACCCAGTCCAGAGACCAGGACTCCTGAATCAGCACAGTGGCAATAGAGACAAAAGGCAGATAAGAGATCAGAGACGTGTGGGATACAAAACAGAAAAAGTCATGGCAACTTACAACCTCTCTGTGGTGGGTGGGGACGAGTCCTGAACCAGAACTCAGAACACCTGGGTTCCAGTCCCTGCTCAGTGTGACCTGGGACAGGTCTCAGTTTCTATTTTTGTACCCCATGGAGGTTGCGTTAGGTCATCTCCGCGGCCCTTTGTGTTTTGAAAACTTTGTGATCCTGAGGTTGTAAAGTGACCGAGATCCTGGATAGAAGAGGAGAGGAAGAAACAGAGGCTGAGCAGAGGGAGCAGCCAGGGCAGGTCTCGGGGTCCTGGCTCTCCGTCTCCCCACTCCATCAATCTTGCAGCATTAATGTCAGTGGGGTGGCCTGGGCCCAGGCCAGGGGCCAGCTGTTGGGAGGGAAGAGTTGTCTCTGGCTGGAGGAGCAGAGAGGAAGGAATGCAGAGCTTCCAAAAAGCCGTGAACGAGTCTTCTTCAGCCCTGGCAGGGTGCCCAGGGGTTTCGCAACTGCCCTCCAGTGAGAGGACGTGGGGGAGGGCGGACTCTCGCTCTGCGCATCAGAGACTGTGGGGTGATGGTGGCCACACAGATGACTTTGGCTGCAAGTAAAAGCAAACCCTGCCTCCAATGGGCTACTTGAGGAAAGCGTCTCAGCCTGCTGCAGGTCCAGAGCAGCCCTGGGGTCCTCAACAACAAGGCCTGCTATTCTCTCCCACCTTCAGCTGATTCTCCTGTGGTCCCAAGATGGCTGTCAGTCTCTTTGGGCTTGAAAGATGGTGGCCAGTGGCAGTGGGGGGCTATGTGCTTATTCAGCAGGACTGAGCCACAGAGGACATCTCTCCCAGCCCTTACTTGTAAGTCCTTTTCTTTGGTCTGAATAGAAAAAATGGGGTCATGTTTCCAGCCAATCAGGGCCCCTCCAGGCCTGTCATGCGCTGATTGGCTTAGGTTAACTGGGATCTTGGGCTAAACCTGGGGGTGGGGAGACTATCCCAACAGAATTGGGGTTCTCTGAGGAAGGAGGAGTGGAATCCATTGCTGGGTGAGTGAGCAGCACATCTATATGACGATGAACCTGAGGGCCTCAGCAGCTCCCCACACAACCTGGGGTCAGCAGGACAGGGACCATCTCTAGATCACCAGGGAGGACTCGGGCACAGAGAAGGGGACTGACTTGCTTGGGCCACACAGGAGGTAAACAGCAGAGCCTGAATTGAGAAAACTAAGTGCTCAGCAAACAAACCAGGCCCAAGCTGCCCGTCACGTTCCTGGATGGCTCCTTCAGTCAGGGCTGCTGCCTCCTCTGGGCTCCCAGGCCCTGACCACCAGAACCGCCAGCCTCCAGCCGGAGCTGCATGAACAAACTCATTGTTGAGCTTCCCAAGGGCTGCCAGAGCCTGGCTGGGTCCAGGAGCAATGGTGTGCTTTTGGATCCTAGCCTTGAGCTTCTTCGTCCTCTTTGTCAGATGGAACCCCGAGCTCCACTTTAGTACCTATTGGCATATTTGTTGAGAGGAGGTTCAAGTGAGATGAGGACAGGTGCTTTGATATCTGTGAAGTGCTATGGAAGTATCCAGCTTCCCGTCTGCTGGGAAAGGGCTCAATCTATGGGCCTCATCTGCACCAAGCCCTGGAAGACCACGGGGAAACCAGCAGTCAGAGGGAGTCGGGGTCCAGGCTCTCCGAGATGGCCAGACCTGGAGCCATTTAACTACAAATGCACAGTTTGTGTTTGCTTACAGATAAAGAAATGTGTCCAGAGTGGGGTGGTGAGCTGCTCAAGGTCACACAGGACTAGAACCCAGTCCCCTGGTTCTCAGCCCCTGTCCTCTGCACCAGACCCTAAGCATTGAGTGAGGGTCCCCCTCCCCAGCCTGTGTGCGGGAGGGACAGCTGCAAAAAGACTCGTGCCTGCTAGCACGTCCCCAAGTTTCTTGGGGGCCATTCTTCAGGGGTTCACTCAGGCGAGGCCACACTTCCCCTCGGGCGGCTTCCTGTTTTGGCCAAACAATGACTCTCACCGGGACCTGGTGCCAGCTGGCTGCAGCTGTGCCAAGGCCCTGACTCCTTGCGTGCAGGAGAGGAGAGGGCCTGGTCCTTAGGGACTAGGCCGGGAACCCCACACCCAGACGTGTTCTTTGGGGCCCTCTGAATTCAGTCATTCCTTCATGTCCTGATCTCACACACAAGCAGCAGGCTTTGTTTGGGTACCCAGAATGCAGAGAGAACTGAGGAGAATTTGCTAATTTTACAGACATTCATCCTGCACCCAGGAGGAGGGCATTGTCCCCGGTACAAGAAACGCAGATGTACACAAGATGCACCCTCTAAACGTGCTCTATATCCTCCCATGTCCTTGTAAAAGCTCAATCTGTCCCCAGTCATCTAGTGCAAGCAGCTCCACACTGAAGCCTCAGAGCCCATGGGGGAGAGATTGTAAGGGCATGAATAAAAATAATAAAGATGACATTTTTAATGTTGACTTTTTTGAGAGGTGAGGAAATCAAAGTTTGGATACGAAAGGTACAGGATGGAGCTGGGACCTAACCTGGATCTTTAGACTCCAAACCTTGCACTTCAGGATGCTTCAAAAAGAAGCCATCTAACTGGAGGCCCCTCGAGATTGGAGAAGGTAGGGAGGGTCCTTGGGTCCATGGGGTGCGGTGCTTGATGATGAATAAAATATGGGTGGAGCCCGGATGAGGGCAGGGAGGTACAGGGAGCCTGCTGTGTGTTAGGCCCAGTCATCTTGGTTCCATTCTCCTTTTGCTCCCAGGACTGTCCTGCTGGGGGGCTCTCTGTGCTGATTGCTGTGGTTGCTTCTCCTTCTTCTTAGGTTCGGCCCACAGGAGGCTGTAGCAAGGGGTCTGTGAGCAGGAGACAGAGGTGGGAGCACTCGCCCCCTGCTCCTCCTTGCATGGCTACAGTCAGGCAGCAGCTGCATTCTGATGCCACAGCTGCTGTTGGGTGGCTCCAAGAACCAGGTGGGTTGCCCAACACACATGCCTGCCCCTCGGCTCTGCAGACCTGCTGTGGTAATGGCTTCCTGCTGCTGCAGCTCTCCAGGTGCCCCTTCACCCCTTCGTTCCTGTCACCCTGCCTTCTCTTGGCCTGGTCTGCAGATTCCCTCAAGGGATTTCCCCCATGTCCTGTGGGAGTCCTGCCTAATAAGGCACCATGGCCAGATCTCTGAATCAAAATTTTCCATCTTGGGCTGGGGATGTAGCTCAGCAGTAGAGTGTTCGCCTAGCACATGTGAGGCCCTGGGTTCCATCCCCAGTGCCACACATACAAAAAATTCTGTCTCCTTACCTCTCTCCAGCATCACTTATCCACACTCTCCTGAGACAGGGCAGTGACCTGACAAAATCTGCTTTCCTGGAGCCTCTGGAATTTGTTGGTGCTGCTGTGGAGACAATGAGAGGGAGGTTCCCACGGGCAGGCATTTGGTCCTCCTATGTCCCTCTTCTCTGGAGAATCTGAGAAGATATTTGGGCCCTATTGGGCCCTGCCAGGAGGTCTTGGGGGAGCAGTGATCTGGTCCTAGGCTTGTCTGCTCCCCAGACCCAAGTTGGGGGTAAGGGAGGGGCTAGAAATCAGGGAGAAGAGGCAGAGGCTCCTTCTGCGGGGCTTCAGGGCCATAGGAGTTCCCTGGGCAATGCTTTTTCCTGGGCAACACTTTCTGGTTTAGCAGCGGGAACAGGCCAGGAGGGAGGGACGCAGCTGAGGTCACTGGATGAATATTTCTCAAGTCTGCCTCAAGCCCTACCTCCCTCCTGAGTGCCACACACAGACCTCCACATGCTCCAGAGACCTCTGTAACCATGAGAAGTTGACACCAACACATTCCCTTCCTCCCCTGCTCCTTGGCCCATTGACCCTCCATCAAGGGAAGGCACCAGAAGGCTGGTGCCAGGCCTGACTGGTTTTCCTCTCCATTCAGGGCTTGAGCCTATGCGGACTCTTGCCAAGTCCTACTCTGCTGTCTTCTCCCCAGGCCATGGCCATCTCCCCAAGCTGGGTCTCACCATCTACACTTAATGATGACAGCGGCCTGATCTTCCTGATTTCAGGCTGGACTCTTCCAATCCATCCTCCATTCAGCAGCCGGAGCGACTTTCCAGAAGTACAAATCTAAGCATGTCCCTTCTGCTCTTAAATGGAACTCAAAATGTGTGATATGCCTTTCCAACTTTACCTCTAAAGAGAAACGCTATCGGATGTTCCATCAGCTTTGCTGTCTTCTTCACGTACACCGTGCTGTAGTCAACTACAAAATAGCCCCCTTGGAAAGAGGCACCTTCCCACCAGTTCATCACTGTCTTAGCCTAGATTCCTCCGAAGCAGAGCATGAGACAAAGATTTAGGGCAAGTAGTCACTGGAGAGGCGATTTCAAGAGTAAGGGAATGGGGAGAGGAGGACAGGGAAGGAAGCAAACCCCATACCAGAATGTGTTTTATCAGTCTCCACTGTGGACAACAGGGCACATTCTCACAGGACCCTGTGGAACCCACAGAAGGACTCGGAATCATCCACCTGCAAAATGGAAGCTAGAAATTGATCTGCTAACTCCAGCCCCTACTGGTAAGGGCTTCTAGATATTTGGGCCATATGGCTGCCTAAGCAAGTTCCCATGGTGCCAAAGAGCCTGCAGCAGCTTTGGAAACTTGTAGCTCAAGCTTGGCGTAGATGCTGGCTGTGGGAGGTGACCTTGGATTAGCAAGGAATTGTTCACCCTGGGGGGGGGGGCAGCTGAAATCCAGTGCGAGACAGGGTGGCTGCATATAAACACTCCTTCATTGGAAAAATCCATGTGGCTTGCTGGAGCCAGCTGTGTATGAGATGCCCAGGTTGCTGAAGAAGAGGTTGTGCTCAGAGTTTACCCAGGGCATCATGGAATGAGCATGGGCTTTGCAGGCAGATGAGTTCAAACCCTGCTTCAGTTTATACCAGCTATGGAACTCTGAGCAAATCACATCACCCAAGAGCCACAGTGTCCTTCTCAGCATAGGGATAATCATTTCTACCATATAGAAATGCTTACGAGAACCAAGAGCAACCCAAGAAAGCAATAGATTTGGCTTTCTGATGTTGAGTCTGTCAGTTTCTTTCTTCCCACAGGAAGGTGGCTTTGCAGACTCTCACTTCACTGCCTCAGCCAGAATCACCCCCATTTTCTCCATGCCTGGTGGCACCTGGGTCACCTACAATTATCCAGCAGCCCTGACAACCTGTGTGCAGTGTGGATTTTTTCCAGGTCCCAGTTTGGGACTGGTACATCAGCAATCCACTCCCCAATTTCACTGCAGGTGGCCAAAAGAGATTTTGTAAAACAGCAGGAAGGACTTACATTGCATACGACACAGCAGTCATTTATTGATCTGTTTATTTTTGAAATTCCCATTAGCTGTTGCTATCTTTCCTTGAATCCCTTTTCCGACCCCACCATTTTTCTCACCTGAGCTCTGCACCTCCAGTTTAATTCCTTCATACTTTTTCTTGCCCCTTGGGTTCTGGGCTCTATTCACGTATTATGGGTTACAATTTGACCCCCCACCAAATTCATACGTTGAAATCCTAACCCTCAGGTCCTGAGAATATGATCTCTTATGGAAACAGGGTCATTGCAGAGGGTAATCAGTTGGGTATATACTGAAGTAGGGGGGCCCTATCTGATATGACTGGTATTCTTACACAAGGAGGGAAATTTGGGCCCAGAGTCACTCACACAGGAAGAATGCCATGTGAAGACTGGATTTATGCTGCTACGAGCCGCAGTAGTACCGAGAGGCCCGGAACAAATCCTTCCCTAGTGTCTTCCAGGGAGTGGGTATATCTGACACCTTGATCTTGAACTTCCAACTTCCAGAACCACGAGACGATCAGTTCCTGTTGGTGAAGTCACCCAGTCTGTAGCATTCTGTTACAGCAGCTAGCAAACTAACACACCCCCTAAAAGGACAATTTATTTTTCTGTTGCAAATATAATTTTTGCATCATCCCCCTTGATTCCAGCCTTTATTGTTATGTTCATGTGTTTACATTTCCTGACAGTCCCTGGGGGCGGAGCCTGGGTCATTCTCAGTGTGGTGTTTTCAGGGTCTGACACACCGCCTGGCTCACAGATATGTACAGGCAATGTTTGCTGAAGACCTCTTGCTACAGGTAGATCTGGTGCTTGCCCTTTGGGGGTTGTTCACATTAGCATAGGTAGCACCATCAAGGGCAGGCGTGGGCAAGGGCAGGCCAGGGACAGCATGAGCAGCCCATGGCCAGCTGGACTGCAGATGCTGTAGTAATGAGAAATAAGGTAGGGATGGAAGATGGGGAATGTAATGTCAGGGCACCAGAATTTGGAGAATGCACCTACTTTGGGAGGGCAATGGGGCAGCAGGGAGCCACAGGAAGGAGAGGTATCAATAGCAGGGCTCTGGGAAGATTATTCTATTATACATTATAGGAGCCCAGGGAGGTCTGTGACTGGGCCCGAGACCAGGTGAGAGGTGATGAAGGCTGACACCTTCATGGGTGTGAGGATGGAGACAAGATGAGACACAAGAGGAAGAAATGCCAGCCCGACAGCTGACTTAGAGGTATTTTCCCCTTTGAGATGCAAGTCCCCAAGCTCCTCCTCCTTCTGAAGATGCCACGCTGAGAATTTCCATGATGCGGGCGATGACATAAATCACACCATCCCGCCCCCTGTCTGGCAGTGACTCTTTTGGTGAGAGAGCAAAGGAACCAGCTACCCCCACCTCGAGCTGGTAAGGTTTCTGGTCCACAACTCAAAATGTCAATTCATGAAAGCAGACATTTTCCACCTTTTTAAATATCAAGTTTTTATAATCACATATGAGTTCTACAAGTTAACTGAAATGCAATGGTGATGAATCTTGTGGGTATAAAGTGAAAATTACATACAGTAAAATATGACCTTGTCCTTTAAGAAGAGGGACCTGGAGTATTGAAAACTGATAAGGAAAAGATTGCATGATTTTAATTTTCTTGCCTGTTTGTTATCTTCTTTTCCCTGGAACATCAAAGCCAAAGTGTAGTTTAAAGAAGAATGAGAAGGCTGAGTTTGGAGGTGATGGGTGACTAAGTTAAATATTGTTGGGTGTAAATACACTGTGAGGATATGCAAAAGAAGAAAATAAAAATTGCCGGGCATAGTGGTGCGCACCTGTAGTCCTGGTGGCTTGGGAGGCTGAGGCAGGAGGATTGTGAATTCAAGGTTCGCCTCAGCAACCTAGGGAGGCCGTAAGCAACTTAGCAAGACCCTGTCTCAAAATAAAACATAAAAGCTGGGCCCAGTGGTGCATGCCTGTCATCCCAGAACCTTGGGAGGCTGAAACAGGAGGATCACAAGTTCAAAGCCAGCCCCAGCGATGGAGAGGCACTAAGCAACTCAGTAAGACTCTGTCTCTAAATAAAATTTAAAAATAGGGCTAGGGATGTGGCTCAGTGGTTGAATGCTCCTGGGTTTAATAATCCCTGGTACCAGGGCTGGGGTTGTGACTCAGTGGTAGAGAGTGGTTGTGACTCAGTTGTGACTCCATAAAACTCCTGTGTAATGAGACCTCATAACCCCAGTGGTAAAGTGCTCGCCTAGCACGTGCGAGGCCCTGGGTTCGATCCTCAGCACCACATAAAAATAAGTAAATAAAATAAAGGTATTGTGTCCAACTATATAAAAAATTAAATATTAAAAAAATAATCCCTGGTACCAAAAAATATAAAAATAAAAAATAAAATAAATAAAAATCACCTGAAAACTTTCTCTCTTGCTCTTATTTTTTGGTGAATATCTTCATTCTAGTCTTCCCCCAACATGACGCATATTAAAAGCTATACTCAGTGGAGTAAATCCTGTAACAGTCTTATTTTTCTAACAAGAGTATCTTTCAAGCCTATTCACTGACCTCCCTTCCTCTGTTCTGAATGATGATATTTTGAATATATCTTATAGCTTTTCAGAGAAGTATGTCAGATTCCAATGAAGAGTCTCATGCTCAGTTATTTAAGGATTTTTAAAAAGTTGGCCAAATAAAGGGCTGGCATAAAGTGCTTCCTAATGTGGTTTCCCGAGAAAGACCCAGCATCACTTCCGTGGTGTGATCTGTGAGATACTGTGATATAATAAGACATACACATTTGGTCTCTGCCGCTAGTTCTTGGCGCCCAGCTTCTAAAACCCTCATCATCTCTGCTGTGCTAAGAGTATCTGATTTTTGCGAATGGGTTGACTGTTGGCTGGGGACCTCTCAGGGGGTCCCCAGGATGGGGATTGCTCACTGGAAAAACAGAGGCATGACCTCCGGGGGTTGGGGGGGCTGAGCCAAGCTGAGGCTGAGTTGATGGCCAATGCTGATGGTATAGTCAACCTCGCCTGTGTAATGAGGCCTCCATAAAACCCCCAAAACAGGGCTCAGAGACCTTCCTGACGGCTGGACACATGGAAGCTTCTGGAAGGTGGTATACTCAGAGTGGGCATGGAAGCTCTTTACCCCTTCCCACGTGCCTTGCCTCCCGCCCCACATCTCTCCATCTGTAACCTTCATAATATCCTTCATGACAAACTGGTAAACTTAAGTGGTTCCCTGAGTTCTATGAGAAGTTCTAATAAATCAATCAAACCTGAGGAGGGGATGAGTCAGAAACCCAGGTCACACCCTGGGACTTGTGAGCAGCATCTGAATTGGGGATAGTCTTGGGGACTGAGCCCTCAACATGTGAGATCTGATACTATCTCCAGATAGACGGTGTCAGAAGCCAGCTGACACAGGGGACACCCAGCTGGTGTCTGCTGGAGAAGAAGTGGTCGTCTGGTGATTAGAGGTAAATTATTATGTGCTAAGTTTGAAAGTAGGAAAAACTGCATCCCCCCCCCCTTTTTTTTTTCTTCTTATCTCTTAGAAAGTGGTATAACCACCAAAAAGGCAGATCTGACAGAGGAAATATCAGACAAGCCCAAATTGAAAATCTCTCTACAGCCTGGCATGGTGGTGCACAGCCTGAGGCTGAGGCAAGAGGATCACAAATTCCAGGGCAGCCTCGGCAACTTAATGAGGCCCTGCCTCAAAATCAAAAGGGGGGGCTGGGGATGTAGTTCAGTGGTAGAGCACTCCTGGATTTAATCTTCAGGAGCAAAATAAAGTAAAATAAAAAGAAAGAAAAGAGAAATCCTAGTTATAAAAGAATTGGTCCAGACTCATCAAAAGTGTCAGTGTCACAGGAGACAGTGAAAGACTGAGAACTGTCCTGGATTAAAGGAGACTGAAGACACAAAGAACCAATAGAGTGCAGGATCCCAGACAAGGCCCTTGATCAGAGGGGAAATTGCTGTAAAGGATGCTATTGGGAAATTGAATGAAATTTGGAAGTTGCCTGAGGATTATATATTAAATTTCCTGAATTTGATAACTACAGTGATTATGTAAAAGAATGTCATTTTTCTTAGGAAATACATGTTGAAATATTTGGGATAATGATGTATGCAACTTCCTTTCAAATGGTTCAGGAAAAAATGTGTATGTGTAAAGACAGCAAATGACAAAGCAAAATGTTAACAGCTGGTGAATGTGGTTGAAGGTCTCTTAGGAGTTATTTGTACTGTTCTTGCAAATTCTTCTGCAAGCTTGAAATTGTTTCAAAACTAAAAGTTAGAAAAAAATGTTAAAGAAAATAATTCCAGGCCAAGTAAAATATCTTTATTTGAGTCTTTAGGACAAAATGTTTGTGAAAGACATAGCTAATAAAGGACTATTAAAATATAAAAAGAACTCTTAAAACTCAATAATAAGAAAACAACCTGTCAGGCATGTACCATGTCCATAATCCCAACTACTCCAGAGACTAAGGCAGGAGGATCACAAGTTCAAGGCCAACCCTGGGCAACTTAGTCTCAAAAAAATATAAATAAATAAATAAATAAAAGGGTTGGGAATATAGCTCATGGTAGTACTTGTAGTACTTGTGGTAGAGTACTTGCTTAGTGTGTGAAAGGTACCAGGTTCAATCCCTAGTACTGACCAAAAAAAAAAAATATATATATAAATATATATATATATATATATATATATATATATATAGAGAGAGAGAGAGAGAGAGAGAGAGAGAGAGAGAGAGAGCAAATGATCAAAAGACTTGAAGAGACATCTCACCAAAGGAGACATACAGATGACAAATGAGAATATGAAAATATGCTCAACATCATCACATATCATTAGGCAGTTGCAAATTAAAACAACCAAGGGCTGGGAATGTGGCTCAGTGGTCCAGAGCTTGCCTAACATTCATGAGGCCCTAGGTTCAATCCTCAAAATTGGAAAAAAAATAATTAAATTAAAACAGTGAGATACCACTATGCACCAAGTAGAACAAAATCCAAAACAATGATAATATCAAATACTGGCAAGGATACAGAGCAACAGGAACTCTTGATCACTGCTGGTAGGAATGCAAAATAGTTCAGCCACTTGGAAGACTGGCAGGTCTTACAAAGCTGAACTCACTCTTACCATTCGCTCCAGCAATCACACTTCTTGGTATTTACCCAAGAAGATTGAAAACTTATGTCTACACAAAAACCTATACACAGATGTTTCTAGAAGCTTTATGCATAACTGTCAAAACTTGGAAACAACCAAGATACCCTTCAGTAAGTGACTGGGTGAATAAATTGTGCTCCATACAAACAATGAATATTATTCAGCACTCCAAAGAAATGGGTTGTCAAGCCACATAAACACACACAGAGGAAGCTTAAGTGCATGTTACTAAGTGAAAGAGAATCATCTGAAAAGGCTGTATGATTCCAACTATAAGACATTCTGGGAAAGGCAAAACTCTGGAGATAGCAAGATCGGTCATTACAAAAGGTTAAGGAGGAATAAATAGGTAGAACTCAGAGGAGTTTTTAGGATAGTGAAACTGTTCTGTATGAAACTATGATGGTGGATACATGATACATGTCATTAGACATTTGTCAAAAATCTGACTGTAGACACTGAGAGTGAGCCCTGAGCTGGATGACGGACCCAGGGTGATAATGGCATGTCCGGGTAGGTTAACTGATTGTAACAGATGTACCACCCTGCGGGGGGGGGCACTGACAGCAGAGGACGCTGGGCTGGTGGGGAGCAGAGGGCATACAGAGCTCCATACATTCTGCTCAATTTTGCTGTGAACCTAAAACTTCTCTAAAAAATAAAAGTAGATTGAAAACTTATGTCTACATAAAAACCTATACACAGATGTTTCTAGAAGCTTTATGCGTAACTGTCAAAACTTGGAAACAACCAAAAATATTTTTTATTTAAAAAAAATAAAACAGAACAACACTTAATCTCCCACTACACTCCATGAAACAGGTTAAAGAAATGATAGTGTTAATTGTGGAATCCTGCCCTCTTTTGGGAGGGTTACTGGGGATTGAACTCAGGGGCGCTTGACCACTGAGCCACATCAGCCCTATTTTATATTTTATTGAGAGACAGGGTCTCACTGAATTGCTTAGGGCCTCACTTTTGCTGAGGCTGGTTTTGAACTTGTGATCCTCCTGCCTCAGCCTCCCAAGCCACTGGGATTATAGGTGTACGCCAACACTCCCGGCTTGATAGTGCTCATTGTTAGCCAGGATGCAAAGCAACTGCAGCTCTTATGCATTCTTGGTTAGAACTAAACACTGAGCAGTCACTTTTGAACAGTTTGGCAGAGTCCTTGAAAGATAAACATGCACCTGCCATCTGACCCAAACTCCTATTCTAGGTGTTTACCCAAGAGAAACAAAAGCTTATGTTCAGACAAAAATCTGCATGTGAATATTTATGGTGGCTTCATTTATAATTGCCAAAGCCTGGAAGCAATCCAAATGCTTTTTAGTAGGTGAATGGATGGACAAACCGTGGCCACCCACACAATGGAGTTCTTGCCCAGTAAAAAGAAGGAAGCTCTAATGCTTGGGAAACATGATGAATCTCAAATGCATGTATCAAGAGAAAGAGACCGGACTCAAAAGGCCGCATATTTTGTGACTGCATTTATCTGACATTCTGGAAAAGGCAAAACTACAGGAGAAAACCAATCAGTGATTGCCAGGGTCTGGGGATGGAGAAAGGAGGTCACCATGAAGGGGCACCCAAAACCTTTTTAAGGTGATGGTGGTATTTTCTGTCTTGACTGTGATACTGATCATTAGTAGTGGTGAATTTTACCCTCTGGAAATCATACCTCGCTAAACAAACTAATTGAAATTTCTTACTTATCTTAGAGCTTCTCTCCTCCACTCTCAGCCAGACCCAGTCCAGAGCCCTGTGGTGAGGAAAGGGCCCAGCCTTGCTTGACTTCTGTTCTGTTTCTTCGAATAGGGATCAGGATGAGTGGGGTGAGGGGAGGTGGGGGCTCATGCAAATTCGACTCTGAATGGAATCATTGTAAACTGGAGTTAGACCTCTCTGGATGGTAGATACCCAAACTCTGGCTCTGCTCTCAAGGGTCAAATACTTTGGGGTTGTGTGGAGCTTCCTTTGTGGGTCAGTTAGTTCCTGGGCTTGGGCATCCCACCTGCTAGCTGACCACCTGTGTCCTGCCTCTCCACTAGGTTGAGGGTCTTTCTATAGGAGTCCCTTGTCCCACAGAGCAGACTTCTTGGGCAGGGATCTTTCAGGCTGGCTTATGCTCCCTGCCTGGCCCTGCGTCCAGCCGATCTAAGAAGCCCTCCATTCCTTTGTTGCCAAGCTCTGGAAGCACAGGCCACTCCCT